AGAGATTGAGTTTTAGATCCTGTGTGTGTGTGTGTGTGTGTGTGTGTGTGTGTGTGTGTGTGTGTGTGTGTGTGTGTGTGTGTGTGTGTGTGTGTGTTAGTTACCATTTTGTCCTAGGCACATGTCGATTAGACACTAGGCCTGTTGTAGGTGTGTAGGTGTGTGTGTGTGTGTGTGTGTGTGTGTGTGTGTGTGTGTGTGTGTGTGTGTGTGTGTGTGTGTATTTGTGTGTGTGTGTTATTACCTATTTGTAGCTGCAGCAGCGGAGTTATAATCGTAGAGTCACATCTTCAATACTCTGGTCATTATATATTTTCCTGGTAAATTTTCATTGGTTGCAGCACTTACTAATTCCTTCTTTAATGCATTCAACTAATCAATCCCTATTTGAGAAGATTTTCTACTATCCACTCCACTGCACTTTTCTCTCAATTTGCAACTGTGGGTTTTGTTAACTGTGTTGTAGATACCAAGAAATTTTTTTCATCTACTCTTTCAAGCTCTTTCGTGATTTTATATGTAGTTTTCGTGTATCTTCTTTTCCTCTTACATTGGCCAACTTAGTCATCTTTAATGATTAAGTCGGCCAGTAATAATGACTAAGTTGAACTATGTGACAGATCACATATGTGTTTTTCTGAGGTTGTGTGTGTGTGTGTGTGTGTGTGTGTGTGTGTGTGTGTGTGTGTGTGTGTGTGTGTGTGTGGTGGAAAGCAGTAAGCTAACTACTAAAACTCTAGCTGACAGTATCACCCTGGGTGAGCACAGTGTACAGGACATCCTAATAGCGGGATGCCACTTTGCATATCAGATATAACTATCAACCAGAGAATGCAAAGTGATACAGACGTGTTCAGCCTCTATTATGCAGTGTATCCTCTGAGAGTAACGAATAATCAACAACTTGACTAGTTGAATAGAGAGAGGGAAATGAAGTATAATGGGCTGCTTTATTGATGACGTTTCGCCCTTACAATGTTTTTTTTATGTCACGAACACATTTTATACCATTCATCTTCAAATTAACTGATAATAGACCGAATTACAATTAGTCGACGGAGGGTTGAACTGGAAACACTCAATGCACTAAGTGATCCTCTCGGGTTTAGCACTTAGTAAAATTAGATAATATTACAAGTCCTGCAGGATGTTACATGTTTACGAACCAATCTATCCTCGGATTCGCAAGATAAAATGAACTTAAGAAGAAGAATTGCAACATGAACTAGTGATAAATCAAAACACAATTATTTGTTTGCAGATGTAAGTAATATACACACTTACATCACAGCAAAGTTGATTTTTAACTTAATGTCTGCTGCTGCATTTGCCGTAATTACTCCTCAAAATTCTAATCAGGAATTAACGATTCTCTCTAACCTAACCCAACCTATATAACGTACATAAAGTTCCTTATGAAGTTACCATAACAATCAATGGTCCACTTATGATGTTGTGTATTACCCATTTTACTTATATCTGAAAGAAAACTTATTATTTATCTGTTTTTATTAAAAATTCTTCTCAAGTAACTAAGAATCGGGGGAGAGGTTGGCAGAACTGTCTCCCCCTCACTTTTACAGAAGGAATCTCTCTTCTAATATATTTGTCACTACTGTACATTATTTTCTTTTTCCACATCTTGTCGGCATCACCACACCATTTTTAGTACTGTATAAATTGCATGTGACGGTGTTACCTAGTAAGAGTACACAGTAGACAGGTACTTTAAAAGGTACCTTCACTGTGGGTTTTAAGTTGTAAGAGGCCACTCGTAGCGAAACGTTTCCTTTTATAAATGTTTGATTTGTATGTGTCTTTATCACCAGTATAAGTTTGTATACAACACTGATGAGTGGGACTGGATCAGTGGTGTTTGCTTCCTGGCTAAGTGAATCACACCGACTGATTCCTTCACTGACTGCTAACTTGAGATATACAAAGGCTTAATGTGTGCTTTGTTTACTCACATGATCTTGTAAATTTTCTATATCACTAAACAGCTCGCTACCACACTCTGACCCATTATTTTGGCGACTGTTTGTTAAGAAATCTAACTGCAGAAAAGAACCCTTATTGAGACAGTGTTTCGCATGCAGGACAGACTTTCTCAGCTCTGTCCAAAATGATCAGGAGGTGACTGGTTGCCTGAGCAGTGAGGTGTCAGGGAGCTCTGCAGCAGCTCCACTCTTCTGTTCTTGTACTAGGAGCCCATCAAGGGAGGTTCCTTGACCCTGATAAGGAGTTCTTGATCTAGGGAATTGGATCTAAGCTTCATTTCCCTGAATTGAGCTTGAATACCTTCCATCCCTATCTTCTCCTCACAGGCGCTGTATAATCCCTACGGGTTTATCGCTCCCAATAATAATAATAATAATAATAATAATAATAATAATAATAATAATAATATAATAATTGTAGTAGGAGTGAAGATAAGGATGTTACTGAATTGAATGCTCCCCGATTGTGCTGACTGGTATTTTGACTGCAGATTTTGGCGGATTCTATACATCTGCCTAGTGTTTTCTTTATCTCCTTAACAATCAGTTGATTGTTTCTCCAGGGCAGCAGGTGTGTGCAACCCCGGCAAATTGTTGTACCTTCTGCACGCCTGGAATCCGTACACAATCAGCACAATCAAGGAGGCTTCGATTCGCTAGTGTACATGTGCACATAGTGCGCCTACAGTGCTCCCTCACCGTCAACTCTCTGCCGCAACAAGTTTCCGATGGTATTTTAATGTGTATTTTGAAAAGATTTCTCTCTAAATCGCTGTACGGAAACTTATTTTTTTCTGTAGTATTCTGAGTAAACTCGGCCAAATAACTGTGTAAAAGTTCGGTGCATACAGTTCTCTTGAAGCTCTGCATATGTATTTCTAGGGAAGTTGTGTGTATATTGTTCTATTCTAGGGAAGTTGTGTATATTGTTCTATTCTAGGGAAATTGTGTATATAGTTCTATTCTAGGGAAGTTGTGTATATAGTTCTATTCTAGGGAAGTTGTGTATATAGTTCTTGGGAAATTGTGTATATAGTTCTATTCTAGGGAAGTTGTGTATATAGTTCTTGGGAAGTTGTGTATATAGTTCTTGGGAAGTTGTGTATATAGTTCTTGGGAAGTTGTGTATATAGTTCTAGGGAAGTTGTGTATATAGTTCTAGGGAAGTTGTGTATATAGTTTTAACTCAGTGGACAGTATTCCTATAAAGAAGTGTATATAATTGTTTATTAAGCTGCAGTTTTTCTTGCAGGTGAAGGGCTCTTGGTCTGATGAATTGGAGCTATCTTCCTCTTCCTTGGATCAGGTCTAATTACTTAATAGCCCATATGAGTTTAGTTCTTCCCAAGAATATAATGAATACTGGATGCCATTTATATATGGCTCGATTCCTCTTTCCATTATTTTTCTGGAAGGACTAAACCCTTAGTAGCCAAACAGCCCCTGGGGGAGGGAAGGCAATCAGGTTTGTTCCAAGGGAGTTGAGGGTAGTTCCAATCCCCTGGATCAGTAGCCCTTCACCTGCGCCAGGTTCGAGTGTGGCGGGGCGAGAGTATCACAGGAATTTAGATGGTTGATATCCCTCATGCTGATTCATCTGCACACTTGCTCACACCAGGATCATTAAGGCTGTAATTCACCTGTGCAATTGCAGTAGTACTTTACTTTCTATAAAAAGGAGATAAACTATGCTCTCGGAGTATATAGATTGATATGCAAAAATCGCGAGCAAGTGGTACAAGATGCAAAACAACCCCGGGGAGGGGGGAGTTTAATGGTAGTACTAGGCTTTTCGTGCTGCAAGCAACACATCATCAGGAGCTTGCAGTGGTGCAGAAAGGAGGAGGAGGTCCAAGCATATCGCTCAGAGGAAGCGTCTTTGCTCGAGTCAAGACGCTTCCTCAGAACATAAATGCTTGAACTTCCTCCTCCTATGTGTATACACAGATATAAGCACTCATTGATATATACTCAGAGACACACACCCATCTATATATACACACTGACAGATACGTACCCTTCAGTGTATCTGCACTCTTAAAGCGTGTAAACTTAAATCTTGAACAGTTTACCCAGCAGGTAAAGTCCACTGGGAAGGTGGAGTGTGTCTCAGACTCATTCGTAGGTGGTAACGCCGAGTATCCTGGCGATGTCTTCTTCTGTACTAATTTATTTATATATGTGAGAATTAATATTGTTTGTATTACCTTTTCTTTAAACTATTCAAGTATCAGTGTCAGAGCTTGACAATTAGTGATAGTGTTTTCTGTGAAGGAAGGATGGAAGGGAATATAGAGCTCTGAGAGGGATGGGATGGGGAGGGTGTAGGCCTCTGTGTGGGATGGAGGGGAGTGTAGGCCTCTGGGAGGGATAGAGAGGAATATAGGCATCAGGGATGATTGGAGGGGAGTGAAGGCTTCTGGGAGGGACGGAGAGGGATGGAGAGGGATGGAGGGGTAATATAGTATTCTGGAAGAGATGGAGAGGATGGTAGGTCTCTTTTAGGGATGGAAGGGAGTGTAGACCTCTGATAGGAATGGGGGTGTATTGTATTCTGGGATTGATGAAGGGGTGGTATAATCTGGGAGGGATTGAGAGGTGGTATAATACTCTGGGAGGGGTGGTATAATATTCTGGGAGGGATGGAGGGGTGGTATAGTATTCTGGGAGGGATGGAGGGGTGGTATAATACTCTGGGAGGGGTGGTATAATGTTCTGGGAAGGATGGAGGGATGGTATAATACTCTGGGAGGGGTGGTATAATATTCTGGGAGGGGTGGAGGGGTGGTATAGTATTCTGGGAGGGATGGAGGGGTGGTATAGTATTCTGAGAAGGATGGAGGGTAACCAAAGACCCCCGCGAGGGACGAAGAGATGGCACTGAATCACATCAGATAATCTCTGTGGGACGAAGATGCAATTCACCCGTTAACCTACATAAGCTTAAATTTCATTTAACTCACTCCTAACTCGAGAAGCCAAACAATGAAGAATAAGAAAACACACGAGGCAATTGATTGCTTTATTTAGTGAAACAACATAAAAATTAGAGAAACACTCAATTTTTTAATTATTGGATACAACAATATTACTCTTGTTACAGTACAAGGCATGAACACCAGATGCTGTAATGGTTGAGGCTTGGTCAAGGAGGTTGAGGGTATAGTTCTCTGGTATGTGTCACCGTCTTCAGCTGCCCACCAGTTCGCATTGTAGAAAAGACTTGAGGCAGATAAAGCTGTTATTGGAACAACGTTTCGCTTTCTTAAAGCTTTACCAAGCCATTTTTTGCGCTATTACAACTTCGTGAAGACTTGATAAAGCTTTAGTGGAACGAAACATTATCTCAGTGTCATCTTGTTCTGCAACATGTGTCTTTTCTTCAATAATGTCGGCAGTGGGCTTTTCGGATCCACTTATGCATATCCTATGTCCCAGGCTGATATAATACCATCCTGGGCATTTCAGATTGAGGCTAAACGACCCTCTGTTAACCACGAGGATTTCCTGGCTTCTTCTTTATAGTATTACTCAGTCATGAAGAACACAAAGACTCACAACATGATGGACTATGACGGGTCGAAACGTCGTCTTGCTCCATTTCCAGCTTGTAGCTTAACTGTAACTCCATCAGATTCAGCAGAAATCCTAATCTACATCTGGATTCGGTAGGATTACAAATCCACGTCTGGATCTAGTAGAATTTCAAATCCACGAATGGAGTCAGTAGGATTACAGATACACGTTTGGATTCACTAGGTTTCCAAATCCACGAATACTTTCACTAGGATTTCTAATCCACGTCTGGATTCAGTTTCACGTGTACTATTGCTGCCTGTAGCCAGGTGGTGGCGTATGCCGGGGCCTCGGTAGATAGGGTAGACTGGATCAGGTTAAGGGAACGAAGTCGTCCCAAGTGAGTGGGTAGCATCCCTACCTACTGAGACTCCTGCTCTAAGAGGTACTACATGTACATGAATGTTCTATCGTAGGTACTACCAAAGCATGTTGTCATTGGCACTAGATAATGGGTGATGCCAGTTGCTTAAGCAGATTACTTACAATCTAGTGTAATGACTACTGAGCCTAGATCTAGTATTGGATTAATGCCCTTAACTATGTTTTCATATATACAAATCATACAAATGCCTAGATATAGAGCTATAATTTAAAAAGTGTCTGTAGTATTCGCTATGTCGCAGCATGGCACATGTACCGGCATCAGTAGCAATCTTACGAGTCCAGCGAGCTGCAGTGTCTGACATAACGTTATATTGCTTTGCCTAGGCATCCGGTTGTGCAGACAACTGTGATAATTTTTCTTGATATGTTAGTTGGCAATTAAACCTAGTTGTAAACTGATGACCTTCAGGGAACTCTGGAAAACCGATGACAGTCGAGTTTAGCAGAGTGTACAGGAAGGTTCAGCTTGAAGGAACGACTATAATACCTGGATGCACCGCTCACATGTACACTCACGCAGGTAAGGATAAAGGTCGACAGTCATGTTTTGACCGATTCCTTTTGAGAGAAAGCTGGCTCAACCCTGATATAAATAAAAAATTCGACCTTCATTACTGACGAATACTTTCAGAATTACATTAACTACACTGAGAATATTTTTCCAGGCACTCCACATGCCCGTAACTACAATCATCTATATTTATATATATATACAATAAATACAATTTAAATAGTATAAAAATCGTGTTTGTGAAGTTTGAAATTCCCTGGGCAGATCTAGTTTCCATAGACCAGACTTTTATTGACGACACATTATAGCGGGAAGACTATGGGGCGGTGCAGGGGCGTGAAGTAGGGAGGCCGCCCACGGCTGCCCTCTTCTAATCTGAGGTATCGCCCATCCGCCGCCATCCTTACATTATTACCACTCTTGCGCAATACACTAACCTCTGCGCTTATATGATTTTTTTTTTTTTTTTGCTGTTACAGAAAAGGGTCCTCATCTCCCAGCGCTTCGCGGCATACGCCGACCTAACACTAAATATTCAGTGATGTTGCTGCTCCAACGTCAGGTCGTCAATTACGTATGAGCGTTACGCTAGTGAGTGGCACAGGTCCTTGAGATATACGCAACTTACGGTAAAGTACGAATAAAGGTGGTGCTAGGCGGGTTAAAATACTAACACGGTCACTGGTGAGATCATTTGTGTTTACACTGTAAGACGCTTTTTCTTTGTTTTCACCTCCTCACCCTGAGCGATTGTTTTTGTGTATTTTTCATCTCCTCACTAGCTAAGCAGAGATTCCCTTGTGATAACATCAGCTGTATCAGTCACGACAGCACAGAGGTGACATCAGCACCATTCACGTCAGTTATTTCACACAAACCCTCCACTTCTTGGCACCCATTTGATCACTAATGTGATCTAGCTTATGGATACAGTTATAGTCATTTTCTTCTACTTTCCTACTATAAAATATATATACATGATTAAGTATCAAATGCCTTAAAATGAAAGCAAAACAGCACTTTGTTTCAACACGTCGAAAACCATCTTTCAGTGCAAGGAGTAGCGGCCATTTTCTACCTCTGCTGCTGCTGCTGCTGCTGCTGGAACTGTGCATCTTAACTTGGGTTTGGTTATTTACGGTCAGTGTATATCACTCGACATGCTTGGCGACATGTTTACATTTATAAATTCATGCCTCTGCATACTACACCTTCGGATACATGTATGTGAAGAGTGCAACTCACAACATCTTTCTGCCGTCTCCATTTAAATACACAAGTCTTTGTGAACTATTCCATGAGGCACTTCTTCAGCTCATTGCTCGCTGTTACCTGATATCAGCTGAAACCCCTGCGAGAATTGCAACAATCGTTGGTTGTGCTTTTAAAATTAGCAAGTGCTGTAGTGAAGACTTGCCATGGGTACTAGCATGACACGAAGGTCATTATACTGTAAGTGGTTAGGAATATAAGGTGTCACTCTACCGCCACGCAGTGTTGGCAGTGGCGGCTGTGATGGCAGGGTGGTTGGCAAGGGCAGGGGAAGCCAGCAACCTGTCGACGGCATCTCGCTCTTCTTGCTGTTGATTCTGCTGAAGGTCATCATTCTGCAGTTCGGCTGCGATCGCTTCCATCTCCTTTCTTATGGTATCTGAAAATAGAATAGAGAATACATAAGACTGGATAAGGTAAGTATGTGGTACACAGTTATTATAAATACAGTGATATACTAGTTAATTTCATCTGCGACAGAATGTCTGTTGAAGAAAGCAGAACACAAAGCGGTTTGCACTTACACGTACCGTTAATGTCTCCTAAAGCGTCAGGAGAGTTGGAGCGAATATGGTCTTCGTAGCGGCTCCTTCGCTTCATCTCAACGTCGAGGCGTTCTTGAAGGCGACGTCGCAGTTTTTTCAGCTTAGCACAGCGTTTCTGCATCAGTATCCGGTTCTTTTGCTCCTCTTGTAACTGCTTCTCAAGCGTCTCCCTTAGTTCACGCTCTCGGAGAACTTCCATTTTTAACTCGGCTGTGATAAAGTAAAAAATAAAAAATGAAAACCAGTCGAACAAGGAAGAATTTCGTTTATCAGGTAAAAATGACAGGGAACATGATTGGCGTAATGTACTTATGTTTACCTTTCTCACACTGTGTTTGCCGTTCGTGATGTCGAGCGTTCTCTTCGGCCACCCGAAGGAGGCCGAGAATATTCCTGAGTAGAACCTCCGTTGAGGAAAGTGGTGCGTTACCGCCAATGCTTGCCAAGGCTCCTGGAGGCGCTGGCGGAGACGTGAGCTGAGTCTGCCCTAAGGTATTGGAGGCTCTTGTCCACGCGTCTGCCACATCCATAGCTGTGAGTCAAGAAAACGCCGTTTGTGCGCATTAGTACTAGAAAAGGGGCCAACTGCATTTTGTAAACAGGACATCTAAATGAATCAAAAGAAAAACGGCGAGAAATCTCAATGAATCACTCTAATGCCTTTACGTATAAATTAATAAAACAACAGTTTAATTTATGTGATCAAGAAATCTCAATAAATAATGTAAAGTCTATTGAATAAAAAAGTTGATGATTAAGACATGTGCAGATGGATATCTTTATTGTTGAAACATTTCGCTTGCACATTTCGCTTCTTCAGCCAAATAGAAAGGCAGCAAGTGTAGCAGGGAAATAAATATGATATACGATTTTCAAGAGAATTAAAAAGTAGACAAATATCAAAACAGAGTCTTACACTCCTCCTTGTCGTCGTCATCGTCCATGTCTGAGAGCCGGTCGTCGTCATGAGGGTTGTGGCGACGGTCATCGTCGTGCAGGTCTCGGTCTCGGCCGGAGTCATGGCTGGCCAGGTCGTGGTCTCGTTCGTCTTCCCGCTCCTCCTGAGCCTCTTCCGAAGCGGCTCCCTTGGAGAGGTTGAGGACGGGTGAAATGGGCGGCTGGTGGTCGTCGTGGGCGGAGGTGGGTGGCATTGGGTGTGGTCCTGGCATGCTGGTGGGCGTGAGACCTCGTCGTTGGTCTAGGGCCATCTGTCGTTCTCTGTCCACCCGTTCCTCGTGCATTCTGAGAAGCAAAAATATCTCTGAATTATATTTAAGCGACTTCTCAGTTGCAGGATGCTCACAATTAACCCACAAATTAGAAATAAAAACTAGATGACATTTCGGTATTACTGATACAATATCGTTACTGGCGATTTGATAATGGTTCACGACAGTCAGAAACGTTGTCCAGTTTTCAATTTCAATATGTGGGTTGTCAATTGTTCCAACCCTGTTGTTGTGACTTTTGTTATTCAAAAGTATTGTTTACTTAACGATTATAGGATCTATAATGATAGAAATTTTATTACGGTAGAGCAAAAATATAATCAGTTATAGGGACTTTATTTCTTAGCGCACACGGGTTTAGCGCGATTTTTACCGTAACAATAGAACCTTGTTCCATCATAGGGAGAAAGGGAGGAGTGCCTTGATGCTGTTAAAATAGATCTTCATCCAAGGAATTGGAGCTATTCCCATCCTCAGATCAAACATGATTACCTCCTATTCTCCTACAGTTCAGCGTTTCCCAAATAAGATGATGATGATAATAATAATTAATGATAATAATAATAATATTATTAATATAATTAGTCTGCTTAACTCTGCAATACTCGAAGACCACATACCCTTACAAAAGACAACAAACCCTTCAAAAGACCACACACCGTACAAAAAGACCACACACCCCACAAAAAAATCACACACTCCTCAAAAGACCACACACCATACAAAAGACCACACATCCTACAAAAGACCCCTCATCCCACAAGAGACCATACACCCCACAAAAGACCACACACCATACAAAAGACCACATACCATACAAAAGACCATACACCATACAAAAGACCATACACCCCACAAAAAACCACACACCCTACAAAAGACCACACACCCTACAAAAGACCACACACCCTACAAAAGACCACACACCCTACAAAAGACCACACACCCTACAAAAGACCACACGCCCTACAAAAGACCACACACCCTACAAAAGACCACACACCCTACAAAAGACCACACACCATACAAAAGATCACATACCATACAAAAGACCATACACCCCACAAAAAACCACACACCATACAAAAGACCACATACCATACAAAAGACCATACACCCCACAAAAGACCACATACCATACAAAAGACCATACACCCCACAAAAGACCACACATCATACAAAAGACCACATACCATACAAAATACCACACACCATACAAAAGACCACACACCCTACAAAAGACCAAAGACCACACACCATACAAAAGACCACACACCCTACAAAAGACCACACACCCTACAAAAGACCACACACCCTACAAAAGACCACACACCCTACAAAAGACCACACACCATACAAAAGACCACACACCCTGCAAAAGACCACACACCCTACAAAAGACCACACACCATACAAAAGACCACACACCCTACAAAAGACCACACACCCTACAAAAGAACACACACCCTACAAAACACCACACACCCTACAAAATACCACACACCCTACAAAAGACCACACACCATACAAAAGACCACACACCATACAAAAGACCACACACCATACAAAAGACCACACACGCTACAAAAGACCACACACCCTACAAAAGACCACACACCCTACAAAAGACCACACACCATACAAAAGACCACACACCCTACAAAAGACCACACACCCTACAAAAGACCACACACCCTACAAAAGACCACACACCCTACAAAAGACCACACACCATACAAAAGACCACACACCATACAAAAGACCACACACCATACAAAAGACCACACACCCTACAAAACACCACACACCCTACAAAAGACCACACACCATACAAAAGACCACACACTTCTACGAAGGTACTGGCATCGCTATATTGTCCATTGAAGGGGGACACCTGGATGCTGGTGAAGGCTCTTGATCCAGCGAACTGGAACTACACTCCTCTTCCTTGTATCAGACAAGTTTGCCTCCTATTCCCGATGTGCTGCATGACCTTAAATAACGGGTTTAGCTCTCCTCAATGAATACAATTATGGTCATCTTAATTAAAAATGGTGACGACGGAGCTTCATTATAAGTTACGACATAAGAGGGTTTACCAACAGACCTCTGGCTGTCTTCACCAAGGAACCGGACAAGTTTCTCAAGTCAGTTCCTGATCAGTCAGGCTGTGGAGCTCACGTTGGACCTCGTGCGGTTAGCACCAACAGCCTTGTACAAGAATGGTATACAATACCGACAAGATGAAATTAAGACACATGTGCAACATCTGGGTATCTTTATTGTAGACGTTTCGTCCTCCAGTGGCTTTATCAATACAAATTCCAGGATATAACAGTTATGTCCTGGAATTTGTATTGATAAAGCCACTGGATGGCGAAACGTCTACAATAAAGATACCCAGATGTTGCACATGTGTCTTAACTTCACCAACAGCCTTGTTGATCAGGTCATCCAAAGAGAGACCTGGTCAGGACCGCACCGCGGGGACGTTGCCCCTAGGAACACTCTCTGAGTTACAGGTAGGTATGCTAATCTGAAAACTTCTTAAGACAATTATTGAAGTGCAAATCAACTTGAATTAATACAGTGATCAAACACTAGGACATATTAGAAGTTTCAAGCTTGGTACTTTGATCAGAGCGCATTTCTGGAACATAACTAAAGGCAGCAACAGCCTGGTTGACCAGGCAGGCAGCAGACGAAGCCTGGTTCAGGGCGGAGCTATGGGGATACCAAAACTCTGCTATCAAAATTATTTTCAGTAACAAGTTACTGAATATATTTCTAATTCCTTTAACATACGTTTGACGGGTTTCAAGAGTTTTCCTTTCGTAACCCGGCCCTAGACCAGGCTTGTCTGGTGCTTACCTGGTCAACCAGACTGTTGGTGCTGGTGGCCCACTGGCACGCACATCCATCACCCTTAAACATTAGTAAAACATGGGGGAAAAATAGTTCTTACTTAATTGTAATTTTTCTTCATGTTTTAATAATGTTTTATGGTGTTCTTAATTATGTATCGTGGTTTGTACATGTATTGTTCCAGGTATTAATCCTGATGATGGTGATTAAGTGTTATTCGAAAAATTTTGATAGCAGTGTTTGGACGATTTCGTAACCAGACTACGAAAAGAGGGTAAAGTGTTTGCCTGGGAAACGTTGCTTATTGTGCACTTTAGTAAACGTTGCTAATTATGCACTTTAATAAACGTTGCTAATTATGCACTTTAATAAACGTTGCTAATTATGCACTTTAATAAACGTCCTGTGAATATTTCAGTTCATTCTAATCTGCTGTGAATTAACATATGTTGTTCATGCACTTAAGGTGGTGCCCTGATGCTGCTGAAGGGCTCTTGATCCCAGGAATTGGTGCTACCCAACTCCTGTTCGGAACTAACCTGATTAAATCCAATTACCCAGGTTTAGCGCTTTCGAATTATTAAATTAATTAGTAAGTGCTAAACCCGTAACGGTTGTATTGCGCCTGAGGAATGGGTGGTAATCAGATTGAATCCAAGAAAGAGACTGGGAGCTGTGTCCTTGGAACAAGAGCCCTTCACCACAGATAGGAAATTTTCCTCATAATTTAACCACCATGAACCTCAGCCTTCCATCTAAATTGTTTTTTTCTACGCTCATCAACTTAAATATGAAGAAAAAAATGGTTGACATACCGCACGTACCTGGCCAAAGACTCAGGTGTGATTTGTGGATGTTTGAGAGGAGAGGCTTCGCTGGGGGAGATGGGGTGTGGTCCCACGTGTCCTCCTGTAGGGATGCCGCCGGGGATACCGCCGGGTAGCAGCGGAGGGTAGCCAAGACCTGCCATGTGGTGAGCCATGTACTGCAGAGGGTTGAAGTGTGGTGGTGCGTGGTACCCGTTAGCAAGTAGTGGAGATTTCTCCAGCCTCGGGTCACCTGTAAATGACAAAAATAACATTAAATACTCACCTATATGCAGTTCCAGGGGTCGAGCCACAGCTCCTGGCTCTGTGTATGTGTGTATAATATATATATATATATATATATATATATATATATATATATATATATATATATATATATATATATATATATATATATATATATATATATATATATATATACACACACACACACACACACACACACGTGTAGTCCTGGAGCTTACGTTAGTCCTTATCTTAGGAATTAAAGTATTCTTGACTGTTAGTGTCCAATTTTCTTCAAAAACAATGCTAATAACCTCTAGTAATCTAAGATCCTAATGCAGAAAGAAGAGGGAGGGAGGAGGAGGAGGAGGAGGTTCCAGAGAGTTGGGGTTAGGGAGGTGGAAGGAGCAGGCTGGGTGATAGGAAAGGGGGGAGGAGGAAATGTAGGTGGGGGTTGCTGGGAGGGAAGGAGGACGACCTCAATAATCCGAGTGCAAGCAAAGTGAAAATGAAAGTAAACTCAAGAACGGGTCATACAGATTTTTACTCTGTATTTTTTGCTGTTTTGTTTTTAAAAGAACTTCGGTGCAGGAATGAAGAAAAAGACACAGGTAGAGAGTAAGCTTTTATTATGACAACGTTTCATTTTATGTTTTCTTATAAATCTCTAGATAGATCAAAGCATTGTGAGTTTGCAGTTATGCCTTTTCTTCAATACCGTCGAAAGTCCGTCATTGTATAGGACGTGGGAGTCGATGAGTGGAGAATGCAGAAGATAACACATTAGGACAGTGACCGAGGATTGACTGATGATTCACTGGTAAAGTTGCTGCTCTCTGGGGCCACAGACCAGGTGATAAAAACCAGCAACACAGCCCAAGCATGTTGTTGTTGTTACACCTCGCGTTGCTGCCGCTAGAGGCGACACCACAAGGTTTTCCCCAGTTCCATTCATGGTAAATCATTCATTTTACCGCAAAAATTGACTCAGAGTAGAGTATCCTTACTTTTTTTTTGCATTGGTGGCCTGAATGTTATAGTCATCATTTACTAGAACAAGCGGACTTAATTCGAGGCTAAATAAGACTTAGCAACATGTATGTCTTGGCGGCCATGTTGAGACTTCAAGGTCAAAGGAAGAATCAAATCAGCGACTATATTCCGCGTCCGAAGAAGAAAAAAACACATTAAAAAATGTTCACCTGAGCGATATTTTATCCATTTAAAATTTCGTCATTAATCAAAACGACAAGAAACTCTGAAAGCGACTTTTTTTTTTTTCAAGTCTAATGGGGTTGAGGCATCAAGAAAAGAATGAGTTGTGCGGAACATGTTAAGGTTGTGAGGTGGAATGAGGGTGTCGGGGAGCAGCAGCGGTGGCAGTTCGTACAGTCTGAGTAATGGTCATAATGCAGCAGCTCCACCCAGCACACCTCACTGCCACACTGTGCTCTACTGAACTCACTACTACTGCTGCTGCAGCAGCACTCAGCCTGCCTCTCCTGCTCTTTCAGTCGTCTGCTTCTGCATTGATTCCCACATTTCCTGCTGCACAGATTTTACTGCACCGATCCTGCTCCTGTTGCACTCCTCTTGCGTCTCTTATTGCATTGATCCTGTGTCTTACTACACGATCCTGCTCCTGCGTCACAGATGCTGCATCTCTTTTTACCACACTGCTCCTGTTTCTCTTGCGAAACACTCAAGTTTAGAAGTAGCCGGATCAGCCGGGCTATGGTTCATATGTTGGACTGTATGCAACCAGAAGTAACAGCCTAGTTGATCAGGCCCTGATCCACCGGGAGGCCTGGTCGTGGACCGGGCCGCGGGGGAGTTGATCCCCGGAATACCCTCCAGGTAGCTATGCCGCTGCGGCCAGAAGGTCTGCATCACAACCTAGTTGATCAGATACCTCAGGATCACATAAACAGTCTAGTTGATAAAGCACCTGCAGAAACTTCACTAGTTTCTTATTAAAGACTTTTCGTAGTCCCGTCCAAAGTGATGCCTTGATGCCAGTGAAGAGCTCTTGATCCAACGAACTAAAGCTTCCCAGGTGCTGTATGATTTTCCTGTGAGATTAACGATTCCCCAGGAATGTTTATTAATTTATTTTCGCCATGTGTGTGTCTATTTTTTCCGTAAGTACGATTAAAAAACACTGTGTGAACGTCTGCGGTCCAAGACTTTATCTTGGCGCTACCAGATTTCATACATAATGCTGGAACGAAGGTAGAAGTTTTCAAGAGGAAGATCGACAGGTTCCTGCAGCCAGACACATGTACAGTTTATGGGTATCTTTATCGCTGAAACGTTTCACCTGCCCGTCACCAGTCTTCTTCAGTCGAATATTGAAGTCATTTTAAAACTGGAGACAGTGGAAGATAAGGAGAGGTAATTTTGAGGTGTTTAGTCCCTCTGCCCTCATTAAAGGTACTCTATACCGTTAGTAATAAAAATCTTGCAAGGAGTGCTAAACAGCGAGGTTGTGATGGCTGTGTAGTCCTGTGGAGTGTGGCCGACAACAGCTTGGCTTATCAGGCGGACAACAGAGAAGTTTGTCCTCAGGCTGGGCTTGGAGAGTATAACTCTTGGAATAGCTCACAGGTATACCTTTGACGATGAGTTCCGAGAGTTTTTCTACTAGACCCCGGCCTTGGGACAGTCTCGTCTGGCCAGGCTCGTCACTATCATCCCAGATATATCCCTTCCCCCTAACCATAGGGAACCCGCCACCCCCCTTCATTCCTTACCTCCCCAGACAAGAATTTATAATAATTGTATAAAAATAATTATATAAATTACCAAGTCAATAAAAAATGAGTAAGATTTATTTAACTCTGTCATTACCTCGAAATATTTTTTGAGTCGGTGTCAAGTAGTGGAATGTGAGTGAGAAGCTTCAGTGATATAAATGTCAGCTGCTCTCCTTCATCATTCTAGTCCACCATCTCTTGACATTTCTCAATTGGACCTGAAAAAATTAATCTTTTCTTCCCCACCCTAAAAAAATATAATAGTGTCACAGTGTCTCTTAAATAATGTTTTTATTTACGGATTACTGTGACTTGCTTTAACATTATATTAGATTAGCTTTGTGTCTAACGCTAAACCCTTGTGGTCGTTCAGTAAAAGGACTGGGGAAGGCTCGATCCTTCGTCTGCCAACTTTTGATATACCTTGAAAGGCTTTCGAGAGATTTCATACTCTCACAACCCGGCCTTGAACTAGGCTTGTCTGTTGCTTGCGTGGTCAGCCAGGCTTTTACTGCTGGCTGCCCTCTGGCCCAAATATCCATCACAGCCTGGTTGATCTGGCACTTGGCGGAGGTAAATGTCTAATTTCCTCTTGAAAACTTCTACACTTGTTCCGGCAATGTTTCTGACATCTTGTGGTAGTGTGTTAAATAGTTTGTATCCACGGCGCCCCTGCTTTTTACTGGGTTTATTTTACACATTCTTCCATATCTCTCACTCCAGTATGTTATGGCAGCGTGCAGAGTTGGGACTAGGCCCTCAGGCACCTTCCACGTATATATTATCATGTATCTCTTTGTCCTCCACTCCAGTGAGTAAATATTTAGGACTTTGAGGCGTTACCAGTAATTTAAATGACTTATTGGCTCTATGCGGGCCGTAAATAATATCAGTTGGTTCCAGCTCTGATATTTCTCCTGCCCTGAAAGCAGCCAACAACACTGAACAGTACTCTAAGAGAGAGAGCACAAGAGATTTGAAAAAGTCACCATCTACTTACACTTAGGTCATACTACACATGCATGTGCACGTATATGTATACACATCCATAGGAGTTTTTTCTATTTTGTTAATAGTTCTTATTTATTTCCTTTCATCTCCATGGGAAGTGGAAAAGAATCTTTCCTCCGTAAGCCATGCGTGTTGTAAGAGGCGACTAAAATACCGAGAGCGTAACCTCTTAAAGAAGAAAACCTTTATTAAATTTCTTTTTCTGGTCACCTTGCCTCGATAGGAGACTGCCGGTGTGTTGAAAAAAGACATTATATATTATATATATATATATATATATATATATATATATATATATATATATATATATATATATATATATTATATATATATATATATATATAATTATATATATAATATATATATATATATATATATATATATATATATATATATATATATATAATATATATATATATATATATATATATATATATATATATATATATATATATATATATATATAATGTGTGTGTGGTGTGTGTGTGTGTGTGTGTGTGGTACTCATCTAACTGTGGTTGCAGGGGTCGAGACTCAGCTCCTGGCCCCGCCTCTTCACTGATCGCTACTAGGTCCTCTCTCTCTCTCTGCTCCCTGAGCTTTGCCATACCTCGTCTTAAAGCTATGTATGGTTCCTGCCTCCACTACGTCACTTGCTAGGCTATTCCACTTCCTGACGACTCTATGACTGAAGAAATACTTCCTAACATCCCTGTGACTCGTCTGAGTCTTCAGTTTTCAATTGTGACCCCTTGTTTCTGTGTCCCCTCTCTGGAGCATCCTGTCTCTGTCCACCTTATCTATTCCACGCAGTATCTTGTATGTAGTTATGTCTCCCCTGACCCTTCTGTCCTCCAGTGTCGTCTGTCCGATTTCCCTCAACCTTTCATCATAGGACATTCCCCTGAGCTCTGGAACTAGCCTTGTTGCAAACCTTTGTACTTTCTCTAACTTCTTGACGTGCTTGACCAGGTGTGGGTTCCAAACTGGTGCTGCATACTCCAGTATGGGTCTGACGTACACAGTGTACAATGTCTTGAACGATTCCTTATTTAGGTATCGCAACGCTATTCTCAGGTTTCCCAGGCGTCTATATGCTGCAGCAGTTATATGGTTAATGTGTGCCTCCGGTGGCGTGCTCGGTGTTATGGTCACCCCAAGATCTTTCTCCCTAAGTGAGGTTTGCAGTCTTTGTCCACTTAGCCTATACTCTGTCTGCGGCCTTCGTTGCCCTTCCCCA